CTCAATTATTTTAATTTGTAACTTTCTCTACTATGCCTAATTCCAGTTCACTTCTCTTCAATTACAATATAATTWTAGCAATCATATACTTACCACTCGATTGGAATTGACAACTTTTAATTCTCTGTATTCATCAACAAGACTTGTTCTATGTTTCTCCCATTGTTCAGCAAGGTTAACAAGTCTCTGTGAACTTGAATCAACCACACTCTAARAACAGTTCAATTAATTATGGTATTAATTAAGAGCAAAATCATTTATGTGTCACTGTAGCCTACCCTTTTGTTGGGCTCCACGTCCCTCCCACAGGAAGCCTGACAAAAGGGTAGACTGAGAAGGAGACAACAAATGTTGCAGTAGAAATTTACATTTATTTTTAGGTTTTTACTTGAACATTTACTAGTTTTCACARCCCCCAGGAGTAAATCAAAAATACGTTTATGTTATTCACATGACATGTATTGTAATCCACCAGCACTCTTGAAGACTTTTCAAAAGACAAGCCTTTTAAAATCTAGAAAATTCCTCTCAAATTCCTCACCTGAAGTTTAGCAATATTGTTYTCTGCATCAGGTATTAGGTCTACAGTTCTTTTCTTGACTTTGTATGCCTCTTCTTGCTCACTATTTTCACTCTTTTTACTTGAAATTTGTTCACTTGTCTATGAATTAACAGTTCATTTAAAGTTCAATTTATTTTCCTTAATGATGCAAATAACACAAAAGGTCAAAAGATCAGTTAGACACACTGTTGTTGTAGCTGTTTTCCAGCAACATTACCTGTTGCATAGCAGCATTGATCTTTTTAACATCAGATTCACTATTATCAATACTAGAAGACAATTCATTGAGTTTTGCTCTTAAAGACTCTAGTTCCTCTTCTCTCTTCCTTTGCAATTCCTAAAAACCATCACAAAGCAATAACATTCTATCAATAAAAGAAGCAAATACTGWACTTTATATTATTTATACTTCAAAATGTAACAATGGACAGGTATAGTATCCAAATGAATGTAGATACAACTATACTGTCTTTAACTATACTATAGAATAAGATTGAATAGTGACCAAAGTGGCCACTGTGTTGATGAATGTGACCACAAAAAATTAAGGTACTGCTGCAATAATATGAACAGCAAAATTGTCAAACATATCTCGCAGCATAGCTGCAAAACAAGTKGAAAAGGGATGCTGCACAAACTTCTAAATGGAACCAACTTGTCTTGCAGCAAATAATTTTTTTGCAACAAAATCTGTCAACRTTGCATGTATTTTACCACAACAACCCAACTTGCAGTAAAATGATGTCACATGACAAGACAAGTTGGTTCACCAGAAGTAAAACACACAGCTTTGCTTTGCAACTTGTTTTGCATCAATGTTGCAAGACAAGTTGGTCAATTTTTTCACATTACTACAGCTTTACATGAACTTTCATGGTCTTTGCTTTAAAATAGCACAGGGAGATCTATATGGGGTACATAGCATAGCTAATTGAAGACTTACATTGTAACAAATTCTTCTATAATTAATACAACATACCTCTTCAGTGTCTGCTTTTGGCAAACCTTCCTCACTCAGYCCTGCCATTGMAGCCATTTTTTCTTCATCCTGGAAAGAAAATATCATTCACAATTCACTTAAATCATTGATTTAATAATTTATATACTTGACAATAGTTTTTGATACARTCTCATGGAATGATGAAGAAAGTGATTAGGATGACTCAATTTACACTTAGTTATCCCAAGAGCAAAAAATRTTGTGAACTGCCTTATAGATTACACTCACTTGAGAAAACTGAAGCTTTTCTGCTCTTGTGAAACGAGATCCTTTTGAGTCTTGTGCCTCTCCAGATGACTTCCCTAAAAAAGGTAAATAATCATCAATACATTTGTAGACAGGTGTATGGATGTTCAACTTATATAAATTTTGATATGTTTGAATTTGACAGCTGTCAAAAAACATGTAACATGCACAGACTCTTCCCTATGTCTAATGCATAGACTCCCCCACAGGGATCCCAAAAGTGCCTCTACGCGCTGGCAAGACTTGTTTTATGTATGTAGAAGTTACCAATCATAATTGTTACTCTACTATTATAAATGTTTTACCTGAGTAAGAAGACACAATCTCACTGAGATCTGGATTGCCAGCTGATTCTATCCTTTGCATCTCAGTCAGCAAATGATCTTTAATTTTCTTCTCGATTCTTTGCCTTTTCCTTGCTAGATAATCCTATGATACAGTAAGTCAATATCCTTGGTTAGGAGACATCCATTGAGCTTGCAATGATACCCAAAAGGAGGTATCTATCCTTGCAGGCTCACTGGCTGTCTTATTTCGATGCAAAGCCATATATAGCTGCCTTTCATAATGCTGGAAAAMGTTGTGAAGGACACTATTCTATTGATGAATTTACATGCAACATAATATTATATGTATTGATGTTCCATTCCTCCCTGATGTCTTTTTGTCTTTCATAATACAAGTAATGATAGAGTGGATGTACCTTATTCAATATTACAAAATATATTTATTACTACTAAATGATATTAATTAAACAATAGAAAATGAAGGAATTATAGTTGTGGTTTATACTGTTTAAGTTTCATAGATCAAGTTTGTCCACTCTTATCGCTATCTTACTTCTTTTGACAATCGGGATGCCAATCCACTTTGATTCCATTCACTTTCCCATTCATTTGCAGCGGTGACAGCACGCGCATTCATCTCAAGTACAGAAGGTGATACATCTTGTGAAAAGGTTGGCTGGCTTGTAATGAATGGCATCACATCAGTGTAATATGCTTTGGTTTCTATAACATTACAAAGCAATATTAATTAATAATAGTTATTAGAATAGTAT